AACCTTGACAGTCACCTTGAGACGAGTGGGGAGGAGCTTAAGATGGTTTGGTCGTTTCGACAGTAAAGGCCTCATCAGGCACAGACTGAAATGGTTTGTGAACAGGTTTATATATATATAGTTTAACCAAAGAACCGGAAGGAACCTTGACAGTCACCTTGAGACGAGTGGGGAGGAGCTTAAGATGGTTTGGTCGTTTCGACAGTAAAGGCCTCATCAGGCACAGACTGAAATGGTTTGTGAACAGGTTTATATATAGTTTAACCAAAGAACCGGAAGGAACCTTGACAGTCACCTTGAGACGAGTGGGGAGGAGCTTAAGATGGTTTGGTCGTTTCGACAGTAAAGGCCTCATCAGGCACAGACTGAAATGGTTTGTGAACAGGTTTATATATAGTTTAACCAAAGAACCGGAAGGAACCTTGACAGTCACCTTGAGACGAGTGGGGAGGAGCTTAAGATGGTTTTACAAATATAAAATTAATAAATATGATGCAGTATGTTTTCTTTGTTTTTTATTAAGCACAAAACCACATGACAGATTATCTGTGCTTTGCCCACCACGGTATCGAAACACGATTTTTAGCATTATAAGCTGGGTCATCAGAAGGTGGATAGTGAACAATATAAGAACAAGAGTTGGAAATTTGAGGGTTATAAAGATAACTGTCAGATCGTTGACCTGATTTATGTATCGTGGACATTACAACCCATAAGAAAATACTTTAATACCTTACGACCCACACTAAACGTTTATAACACATTACAATCCATAACAAATGACTATAACACATTACAATCCATAAAAAATGACTATAACACATTACAATCCATAACAAATGATTATAACACATTACAATCCATAACAAATGACTATAACACATTACAATCCATAACAAATGATTATAACACATTACAATCCATAACAAATGACTATAACACATCAAAACCCATAACAAAATATTATAACATATTACTGCCCACAAAATATAATATAACACTTTACAATCTACAACGAAATACTGAACACATTGAAACACACAACAAAATATTATATAACATAAAACACCACAAAAAAGAATGTAACACATAACCTTATTTTATTTTAAGCCACTTCAGGTTTTCGTTTTGGCAAGAAGAGGTACTCATAGTTCAGTGTGACATTTAATCTACTGTAATGATAGTGTGGGAAAATGGTCAACTGTTTTAGCTAGTCACGTTCGTCTCGCCATTCTTCTTGCTTCAAGTTCAAGTAAAAAGGTGAGTAGCTCAGACTAGGACATTAACCAACTTTTATAAAGTTTTTTTATGCATTGAGCCAACCATCCATTTTCTTAATGTTACTTAGTTAAATAGTATCATTCCACCTATTTTAACAAACTTTTATGTAAAAGGTTTTTGAATTAGAATTAGCAGAGATAGTAGGACACTTTGTAGTAAATTCTAATTGTTTTATGATTAGGGTTATGTTTATCGGTAATTTATTATTTCCTTCTGTTGTTTAGTTTATCTATGAATTTTTATTTGTATTAAAACGCTAATTCACTTGCTAGCTAATCATTTGTATATTGAATAAATAGGTATGTATTATAGAAATGAATAAAAACCCTATAACCCAAGCTCTTTCGAAAGGTGGACCTTTCTTCTTCAGGGGCAAACTGGGCATAGTGGTGTAACTGTGTAAGTGTTATATAAAGGTGGGGTTTTTATTCATTTATAACATCATGTATGTATGTATTATGAAACTGACACCAGCTTTCCTAGTGGTGAAGTTCAGATACTATTAATGAAGTAGAAGATTATGTAAGTTTATGATCATATGAAATTGTACTCTCGTGACCTACTCAGTGAATAAATACCCTTCCAGAAGCTTCATTAAAAGAGAGAGAGTCACGAGCCAGCTAGTGAATTATTGTTGTTTATCACTCAATATTGTTATTCATATTGAAAGGTAATTTTGGAATATTGTGTTTCCTGTATTTTTTTGGAATTAGGTTTTTTCTTTCTGGTTCCTTTTCCTGATTCCATTATTTGAAATAATATCAATATTCACTTGTGTTTTGTAAGTGTTGAATTTACTTCTAAGTGTTGTTATTGTTGAATAAATTGTTTTTGTTGTGGAAGCATGACTGTAGCGGCGTGTTCATTTTAGACCGTTTCATAGGAACCATATCCGGCATTTAATTTTTTTTTCTGCAAATATGTAGAAATATACATTATTTTATAAGGAATTCCGAGGTGTAAGCCGATGTCGGATTGGATAAAACCCAAAGAAATTATAATTAGTTTTTGTCAGTAGAGTTGGGTGATTTTTTTTACTCCAGTTGAGACAATGGTCACGCTATTGTTTTAGTACCTTATTTGTGAAACACTTATCGTTCTCGAACTTTCTGTGAAGCCTGTGGAGAAACTACTGAGGTAACGAGTCAGAATCTCTGAGTGTTTATTCTAGTAGAGACGAAAACGATGTCTTTGTTTATTTGTTGTTAAGCACAAAGCAACACAATAGGCTATCTGTACTGTGCCCACCTCGGGTATCGAAACCCATTTTTTAACGTTATAACACACTGGAGGGTGGGGTAGAAACGAGGTTGGATTCAAAGCTAGCCTTCAAATGTAAAATAGCAAAATGTCCGAGGTGTTACAAGTGTAGCAGGTGTAGATGCCATCACCATGTACATCAATTGGTCAAAATGTTAGCCCTAAGAGAAGTCTAAGAAACTTCAGAGAAGAATGTGCTGTCAAATGCCCTAAGAGAAGTACGGTAGAGTACAGAAACGGTAGACTTACGGATGTATCCGATGACTTGCGCTCAAACTGGAAAGAGAGCGGAGACAATTCGGCGTGGCGCGAATGTCGACGATGTTAAGGAGAAGATCAAGATCGGGTAAGGAACGGATACTTTTTCTGGGTGAAGTTCAAGAATATTACAAAGATAATAGGAGTATTTAAATAATAGCGAAATAGCATGACCATAGCGTGCGAGTGGTCCATTTTGGTAAAATAAAATAATCCGTTGAATCATGGATTGGTTGTTAATATATATAAATTAAAACAACGCGTACCACTGCTGCAATGTTCAAAGGCAGTGTGATTTGAGATATAAACCTTATAGCTTATGCCAAACGTTCATATTTAAATCAAATATAATATATTGTAGAAGAATCCAAACATTCGTCACTGCTGCCCCCAGTGGCACAAAGGCAATTGTAAAGATCTATAGCGCTGAAAACCGGGTTTCGATACCCGTAGGGACACAGCACAGATAACCTATTGTGTAGCTTTGTGCTTAACAAAAAACAGTCAACACTGCTGAACCGATATTCGTGGCTGCCTGTCTGTTACAAAGACAAGCAAGTTAATTCAAACAATTTTACACCAATTTGATATTATGTTCCATTTATCAGAGATTTCAAAATTCCTTTAGACATGAATCAACTTAACGATGAAAGCATTGATAAAATTACGATATAAAATATAGACCGTCTCCGTACTTAAGGGCTTGTTTTGTTGAATAAAAGAATCTATTTACATTATCTTAGGTTACTTGTATTGAAAGGTTTCATAAAACCAACTAGCTGAAATCTAGAATCCCTGAAAATTGCAAGGTTTCTTATCCTGTTTTGTAAAGGTTAGAAAGTTAATCTGTTTTAACCCTTTGTCACGAAGGGTAATTTTTGAAAGCGTGATTGCCGTGTAACGATATGAAATGTATGAATTTGTTTGTAATCGGATGAATAGAAAATTAATTTCGTGATCCAATTTGTATAATTTTTGGTTTTTAACACCTTATACTTATAGCATTTTACTAGAACACTTCTCAAAGTGTCCAAGATGCAGAGCAGGATTCGGATTATTCTTTGTGGTTTAACCCTTTGTGGCTTAACCTTTGCCACCAATGTTATTGGTAAGTTTTATTGATCTCTATCTTAAAACATTACATTTACTATTAATAACAATTATAAACTGTATGATTTTTCTTCTATTTCTGCTTGTTAGTCTATATTTTTATATAGTAAATCAACTTTAGTGAGCTTTTGTAACGGTTTAGCCGAAAAAATAGCAACATACGAAATAAAAAAAATGCAACATAGACAATTCTCTATTCTAATAGGTCACTACAAACACAAATAACATTAATAATGTTTGTACACAATAAACAGAACAAATCACGGAAGTTGAAACAGTCCCATTTAAAGCCAGATCTTCCATAAAACTAGGTCATAGGAAAACAGAAAATATTATTTCATAGATTTGTAAAATTTTACATATCTGAGAAGAAGGTAAACAAACCCAAATAGCCTAGAAATCGAAGAAATCAATAGAAGTCTAAAACCAATCCTGTTCTAAACGACCTGAACAGAAACATAATCAATATTGCAACTGAACTCGCTAATTACTGTTGGAATTTCCTGTGAATTTTCCAAAGAAAATAAGTTACTTTATCTAATTATTTGATCAGCTCCTTACTTTGAAAGTTTTAACAGGCCGCATCAAATAACGTGGGACTCCATGACTATTATTTATAGGGTTACTAATAAAAAGTATTTTAGGATTGTGCTCTTTTCATTCTTGGTCGTATTTTTCTCTAACATTACGTCTGTTGGAAAGTTCTCCAGATCTCCTGATGTTCAGAGGAAAAATATAACACTCAGAGGATCTGATATATGGCCCTTCACGCAGTGCAGACATACCACGTTGTCCATAGAAATATAGGCAAAGTGGTAGTAATGGAATAGTGATAGTAATAGTAATGGAATGAACATTCGAAACTAGTGATCTAGAATAGCTATGGTAAAGTGCTGTGGAATGTAAGCAGCACGGTTCTGGCTATACACGTCTCTATCTTATATGTGAATAGCTCAACAAGCTCCCTAGGAGCTGCAATAATTGAATGACACATAAAAATGTATTGAGTAAGAAATGAGTAAGAAACACAAAAACCAATGTTTTGTTTTTGACACAATAGAAGGTAAAATCTTTATTATTAGTTACAACCTACTAGTTTCGGTAACACAGTTACCATCATTAGGGCTAGTATCTACGTAAATAATTGGACAGCCACAGGTTGCCAACCCGTAACCATGACCTGTCTCAATAGTTGTTGAAAGCACTTGGTCTGAAAAATAAAGGGTTTTCTTGTGTTTTCTACATATTGACATCAAGCCCCTTCCTCTCCCTCTTTAGTTTTATGTAATCTGCCATACAACAAAGAATTTGTCGCCCATCTTCTTCAGATTTCATCTTGTGGCTATTCCTTCCTAGTATAGATGAAACTGACATCTTGAAAACAGGAAGTTGTCACGTTATACCAATGACTCTTTAAAGGCGTTTTACTTTTATTTATCCTTCTGTTAAGAGCTAAGATGAATTTGTGAGGTATGATTGCACCCTTCTTCTATTCTTGTGTCCCATAGTACAATTTTGTTGGTTAGTGAGAACTTTGAAAGAGTTTCAATTGGTCTTGGAGGGTTTCAATGGCGGAATAGCACTCACATTAAACTTACATAGTACCCTGTTATGTAGTTCTGTGATGAGAATGACTTTACAAATTTCTTAGAATGCAGCGCTTGCCGAAGTGTAAGTCTTAAGAGTTACGTTATAATTTTTTGGAAATGATATCTGGACTTAGAGATGTCTTAAGGAATTAGGAAAACAAAATAATATTGTTCTGTTTTCTAGATAAGTTGGAGACTTAGAGATTGGATTATGTACTTAGTGACTTAGAGATTGGATTATGTACTTAGTGACTTAGAGATTGAATTATGTACTTAGTGACTTAGAGATTGGATTTTGTACTTAGTGACTTAGAGATTGGATTATGTATTTAGTGACTTAGAGATTGGATTGTGTACTTAGTGACTTAGAAATTGAATTATGTACTTAGTGACTTAGAGATTGGATTGTGTACTTAGTGACTTAGAGATTGAATTATGTACTTAGTGACTTAGGGAGCAATTGTTTAGTTAATTTTAGTTAACTGATCTTTAGGAATTGTTTGTTTGAAGTTAAGCACAAAGCGACACAATGAGCTATCTGTGCTCTGCCCACCACGGGTATCAAAACCCGGTTTCTAGCGTTGTAAGTCTGCAGACTTACCACTGTGCCACTAGTTCTTAAAACAAGACTTGAACTAACTATAACGCGTACTCTCGTGATTTAAAATAACTCAGTGAAAATATAAATAAAACATAAAATACTTTACTTGATGAAAGCATAAAAATTGCAAACACAAAGCAAAGAAAACAATACATGACTTTATTGAATCGAACCATCCGTTGTTTGTTCGTAATTAACCCTAGAATTACCGATATGGTCCAAACTGTTTTTGAAACACATTTTGTATAAACTATTTAAAAAAAAGTCCAGTACTCTAAATATTTTGGAGTTAGTTCAGAACTTTGTCTGGAGGTTGCATCATTACAGTTGATTTCAAGAAACCGTTTCAAACATATTTTTAAACAGATTAACTAATTTCCAAATGACAATATATTATTCTCGACCACAGTTGTACAAAATAGAACTTCCTCTTTTTAGCAGTTATTATCTTTTGAATATATTCGTTTTTCAAAGCTAACAGGCCATTCAATGTCATTAAGATCTCCAAGGGTTGTATTGGTTTGGTTTTTGAATTTCGCGCAAAGCTACACCAGGGCTATCTGCGCTAGCTGTCCCTAATTTAGCAGTGAATGACTAGAGGGAAAGCAGCTAGTCATCATCACCCACCTCCAACTTTTAGGTTACTCTTTTACCAACGAATAGTGGAATTGACCGTCACATTATAACGACCCCACGACTGAAAGGGCGAGCATGTTTGATGAGATGGGGATTCAAACTTGAGACCCTCGCCTAACTACCTTGCCATGCTGGGCGGGTTATATTGTAAATGTATTTCCAAACAGTAAATTCACATTTGAGCAAACAGAAGGTTTAGGAAAATAAAATAAACGTAATGCAAACTGAAAATGTTGACATTTATTGGAAACAATAAGCAGAAGCTCAGGAGGTAATAGAAAAAATCACAGAGCTGTAATTTTTGTAGTTCAGAGAGCTAGAAGTAAAACAGATGTGAAATTTGTTTGTTTGTTTGTTTGTTTGAAGTTATGCACAAAGCTACACAATGGGCTATTTGTG